ATTTAATAATTTTATAAAGCAAATTTTCTCGAAATCTTTTGAAACACATTAATCATTTTCGAAATTAACGAAATAAGGATATAAACAATTCCATATACTTGTATTAATATCTATACTGTAAAATAGTTATAAAGTATAATTTGCACCACATAATAATAAGCAGCAATAAACAATTTCTTTCATTAAATTTTATTTCATTAAATTTTTTATTTAAAATTAGTAGGAAAACTATGGTATGTGCTCACTATTATTATATTATTGCTTAAATTTGCATTTAACCAAATTATTTGTAGCATATATTACACGCTTCTAAATTCGAATATTTATTTTCTATTCATAATAGTTAAATTTTTTTCATTTTTGTATTAGCAATTTGTTGAAATTTCATTACAATTTTCGAAACACTTTTCATGAAAATGTTTATTTCAATTGACTAAATTAAAAATGAAAAGTTCGCATACCATACATATGTTCAGCTCAACATTTTTATCGGAATAAATAACTTAATGAATTTGTAAAAAACAGAAATCTTTTGTTTGTTCTCCGACTTAAATAAGTTTTTCGAAATTGCAATTTTTTTTTTAGATTTTTTGGACTTTTTTTTTTAGATTTTTTCGAAGTTATATGTTTCGAACATAACTTCTTTGCTACCTAATGTGAATCCATCGTATGATAAAAAAAAATATATAAAGATACATTTAAAGCAATTTCGAAATTCGTTAAACTTCTTAAAAACCGTAATGAAAAATGGTTTTTGAAATATCTTTTTGTTTTTTTAAGACTTTTTCGCAGTTATATTTTCAAACAGAACTTCTTTGCTACTAAATTTGAATTAATCGTTTTTAAGTTAAATTTCGAAGTTCATTAAACTTCTATAAAACTGGTTTTAAAAATTTGTTTTCAGGCATTTTGGTTACATAAAAAAAAACAACAACAATTTTTCGAGTATACCAAATTACTTTTTTAACAATCATATATAATTAAACTTAAAACCAACTCTTTGAACTTTTTTTCGAATAAAAATTTTGTGAGTATAACTTTTTTACTATTATATTTGAATTCATCAAATAAAATAAATGATTAAATTTTTATCGCAATTTCGAAATTCGTCTAAATATTATATATAAATGACTATTTTACATTACTTCGTGATTGATTTTTTATTTTTAATTTTTTTATTTCATTATTATTTTTTTCTTTATTTCTTTTTTTTTAATTTTTTGTTTATTTTAATTTTTTTGTTAATTTCATATATATTTCTGATTATTCACTTATTTATATAATTTTAAACATCAATATTAAAATTAGTGAAAATTATTTTAAAATTTAGTATTTTTAATGCATTTCGAATCCTTTTCTTTTATTAAATTATCAAAAACCGCACACGTCTCACAAAATATTAAACAAGTTGTAGAAAGTCACATATTCATAATTAAAAAAAGTTATTCCATAAAATATTATCGAAAATATTTGTGATTAAATATTATCATTTACTATTAAACA